AGTCTCACGATGTTGATTGCCCAAGCAGAGTGGAGTGCCGGGCGTCTAGCTACAGAGACTCCCAAGAGTCCTGGCCGTAGAGATCGGTCTGGCCTCAGGCCTCCGGGTTAGTCTTGGGATCTTACCAGGCAGTCGCGCCGACGATCGCGTAAGTTGCTTTCATAGCGCACCAGCTGGCGTACCATTTTGGGAAGCACAAGGGTAAGAGAGTTATAGAGGAAAGAAGCATATGAAATGCTGGATTAAACACGGTAGAGTATAGGCTTGAATAGAAAAGCGCTGTTCTGGGAAGGTGTGACCTTTTAGAATGGGGTGTAACGATCTCAGAGCATTGTCTGATCATCTGAATCAGTGTTAAGTACTATCCAAAGTTGGCCAGATAACTTTTGTTCTCAAGCTATAAAATATTTTTGCAGTATGTAGTGAACGGCGCGCTTTGTAGTGAGTTGTTGCGACACTGCACTGCCTTGAGCAATGACCAGCTCGCTCGCCAAAAGTAACGCCGTCGGTGCAGACGGTTGCGTCCCAAGAGACGTGAGGCGTGACTAGTGACAGAGTTGAGCCAGCATGCGCAGGCACAAGGGCGCCTACTCTATGCTGATTATAAGATTATGCATTGTATGTATAGGTTGTCAGCTACGGGGTCTCTGAGGATTGAGTACAACTGAGGGGATAGGTATGAATTTGATAGATATGTTGAAGATATAACATTAGATGCGCATTCAATGGATATAGCTCTTAATCTGTATCCATTTTACTACTTTTTTACAGAGTAGATTTTACTCATCGATGTCGGTGCTCTGTCTGTTTTATATAATGCCTAGAATCCTGTATCGAGAAAAACTGTTTGACTTTTCTATCTTTTTCGAGACGCAAGAGCGTCTATTTGTTTGTCCTAGGCTGAGTGGAGTGCGTGTGTCAGCTAGCTCACACCGAAGCCTCACATCAACCTGGCTCAAGCACATCAGCTAGCTCGACGGCAACCTCGCAAGTCACTCGGCTCAGCGAATCTTCGTGCCTCAGCTCCCGAGTAGCTGGAATACACGGCATGTGCCCCATGCCCGGCTAAATTTACTTTCGGTGATTTATAGTGGATATTAGGTTTGGCAATTAATTATCTGTTGCTATTTGAGTAGAGGACGGGGTCTCGCTCTGCGCGTTCAGGCGTGTTCGAATGTCCTGACCGTCGCAAGCACGCCCACTTCGCTCCGCAGAGGTGCTAGATGTACGAGGCTTCGAGCGCAGGCCTGCGCCGGCCGAGAAAGTTTCTTTAATGTGGTTCTGAGTTTGTTTGACATAGTCCTAGTAGTTTTTTTTTGTTTGAGACAGAGTCTCAGCTCTTGCTTCCCGGCTAGAGTGCCGTGCATCGAGCCTAGCTCACAGCAACCTCAGACTCCTGGGCTCAAGCGATCTCCTGCTTCAGCCTCCCGACG